AAACTGGCCCTCGGGGACCGTCCAGGAGAGGTGCAGGGAGTTGGGAGTGGCATCTGTGACAGCCAGCTCCCCCAGGCGGGGCTTGACGGGAGACTCGGGGGTGGTGGCAGGTAGGGCTTGAGTGGTCACGGTATCTGGAGATGGTGAGAGACACACAGAGACAGGTCCTTACACCTCAGGTTGGCTTATCAAGGGGTTTATTATAAAAATAAGATGCACAATGTTGCTGTCCATGGTGTTCTCTAAGAACTCACCTGTCTTCCTGTCACCTTTCCCTCATCTATCCTGGGAGGATGGAAACTCCAGCTTCACCCACTGTCTCCCAACACCTGGGATCTCTCCCGCTCTCCAGCACCCACCTCTCCTTGAACACTGGTCCCCTTGGGCCACCATGCCCTGGCCTCTCTCCACTGTGGCCTCACTGGCATCTCACTAATTGGTTCATGGCTTTGATCCCAGACAGCTCATGGCCCGCCTCCAACCAGAACCTGGAATCTTCCAGACTTGCTCCTGTCCCAGCGGTCACTGGACTCAGAGGCCCACTCTCACTCCTAAGCACCTCCCGAGTCTCTGTACAACCCCACGTCCCCGGCAGCCCCACTGTCCTGGCCACTCTCTCCTCACCTGGATGTGCCACCTTCCACCTGGTCACCCCACCTCTCCCCCCATAGTTCTTCGGTGGGAGCCAGACTGAGCCTTACTGTACACCCCAGCAGTCTTCTTAGCTGGCGGTTGGGTGACCTTCTTTGTCCGTGGGAGAAACAGCTGGCCCCTAAGCTGCCCTCCCACCCCACCTCCATCTCAAGACTACCTCCCTACTCCCTATACAAAGCCACTCATGTTCCAAGTTTCCAGGCCTTGGCACCAGCAGCGACATTTATGTGACACTTGGCCCCGTCCCACAAGCTAACACTTGTCTGACCTCCGGTCTCAGCTGTCCTGTGGACACCCGTGGGCAGGCTGGCTCAGGCATCACTGCCCAAGCTTGGTGGCCCGGGGCTTCCTGTCTTACGCACACCCTAGTCTGTTGACTTGCTGGTTCACGCCTGTCTCCCCACAGCTGGGGAACTGTCCCACAACTATGAAAACTGTTCCTCAGCCATGCTGAACGTTTGCCCCAGTGAACTCCCACAGAGCGTGGCTCAGGGTACCCCATCCTTGGAGACAATGGGGCCTTATATCTGATAGTACCCAAACCGGGAGACTTGGGGTGTCTGAGCAAGTACAATTCTCTCCTACAAATTCAAAGAAAGTGTCTGACTCTGTGTTGCGATGTGTTTGGTGACTTGAGGTGTGGCTCTGTGTTGCGATGTGTTTGGTGACTTGAGGTATGGCTCTCAGGCCAGCAATATCTGCGTGAGAGGTTCTTGTTACAGATTAGAACTCTAAGACCTCCCTGGAGGCCTAGGGGTGAAGTCTCTGCTATTTCACCGCGACTGCCTGAGTTGGATCCCTGGCCAGGGAGCTGACCCACAAGGCACCACAGACCTCTCTTGTCTCACCCGCTGCTCCCCTCAGCAGTGTATTTCAGTACATCTGCCTGTTCTGTTCCCCACTCTATCTCTGGTGAATCCTCTATCCTCAGCCTATACCCTAGTTCTTCTACACCAAAAAAAGAAAAAAAGAAATTTAAACTCTGGCTCAGTTTGAACCTGCTGAGTCTGAATCTGCCCTCTAACAAGGCTCCTAAGCTTGTGTCTAATGTGCAAAAGAGGCAGTGAGCTGCTATCCAGAATATTAACATTCATGAAGATGGTAGTAGAGGGAGCACCTCCCCGGGCCATCTTCTCACTCACTCACCGGTTGTGCCCACGGTGGACATGGGGCCCATTCGCTGGCCCCCGTGCAAGCCATACAGGTGCATCTTGTACTTGTGCCCCGGCTCCAGGCCCCGCACTGTGACTTCTCTCTCCTCACCGCTGACACGCACCACCTGCGGCCCGTCCCTGCCCTTGTACTGGACGCTGAAGGAGTCAAAGTGGCCCTGGGGGACGATCCAGGAGAGGCTCAGCGAGTCTGGGGAGGAGCCTGTCACAGTCAGCTCCCCCAGCACAGGCTCCTCTGAGATGGCTTCTGTGGGTTCGATTCTATCTGGCGCTGAGGAGAGACACAGAGGCTGAGGCGGGGTCTGCAGGAAGGCTCTGGAGACCCGGGACTGTGGGGTTTGGGGTCCTGTTCTCAGGTTCCCAGGTGGCTGACAAAAGAGCCTGGGGAAGAGAGGCTGACAGGACAGCTTGCTTTACAGGTGATGTCGATAGGGACAACACAGTGCACCTGACAACTCTATTTCTCAAACTGTCAGACCAGGCCTTTGGGTAGCATTTGGTAACCGACTGAGGGAGGGGGCTGATGCATAGCAGCTGGCAGGCACCAGAGACCTCCAGAAGATAATTTGGACACATGTGTCAGGAGCCAAAATAATCCCATTTCTGGGCAGCCATCCTAAGAAAATTATTAAAAAGCAGGAAAAAGTTATGTCATGGGAGTTGTTTGTGGGATTATTCATGACAGCAAAATGTGTTGGGGACCCAAATGACCCTTAGGAGATGATTAATTTCATGACGGTTCTCTCACCCTGAGGCATCAAGTAACCACTGAAATGATGACTTATACACAGGTCGTGGGGGGCTCATAATGAGACTGGTGTACAAAAGAGGTTAAGAGCCAAGAGTTCTGCGAACAGTGAGCAGCTTTACAGCAGGACCGCCTAGAAGATGCATGGGTGAGCCCAGCCACAGCTACTGCCGGGAGGACAGTGGCTGGGTCAGAGGTGGTCTAATGAGAGACTCCTCCTGCCCCCTTTAGAACTTTCCGTCACACTGCTACAGACTTCTCACCAGAAAATTTCAACTTAAAAAGAAACGCTGCACAATAAAAATGGGGGCCTTCCTGGTAGTGCAAATCTCAGCACTATGAAGCTATCAGCAGCTACTGCAGCCCAAGTTTGATTCCCGACCAGGGAGCTGACCGCATGGCGCAGCAGACCTCTCCTGGTCCCTCAGCAGTGTGTTTCAGTCCATCTGCCTGCTCTGCTTCCCACTCTGTCTCTGGTGAATCCTCTCACCCCCTGTACCTCTGATCTGTAGCCAAGCTCTTGTATGCATAAATCAATACATCTTTTTTAAAAAAATGATTGGTTGGGGGCAGGGAGTATGGACATGGGTCCCAAGCTACCCTGTCTACTTTGTATAAGTTTGTGATCTACATGAAAAAGGGTAAAAAGCAACCCAGAGGGCAGACACAGCCACTGTCTGAGACATAGCCCCTCCTGCCACTCTCCAGTGAACACAGGAAAGCAGGCTTCCCCAGGTCCCACGGGCTGAGTGGGGACATCTCTCTGCCTGGAGTAAACCCAGGAAAGGAGAGGACAGCCTTCATGCCGGCGGAGAGGTGCCCACTCCCCGCCTCTTGAAAGGCTCTCCAAGGGGCTGGCTGTTCCATGCAGGGAAGGCTCGCGTTCATACCCAACAGCCAGAACCTGGCTGACAGTCTCTCAAAAGCTAGCATGGGGCCCTTCCTGATGGTGCAATGGGTTAAAGCACCGCATTATGAAGCTTTCCGAAGCCACTGTAGCACGAGTTTGAACCCCGCCCTGGAGGTGACCACATGGCGCGGCAGACCTCTCCTGACCCACCCGGTGCTCCCCTCAGCAGTCTACTTTGTCCATCTGCCTGTTCTGCTCCCCACTCTGTCTCTGGTGAATCCTCTCACCCACCACACCTTTGGCCTGTACTTCAGTTCTGTAAGCACAAATAAATAAATATTAAAACAAAACAAAACCAATGCTAGCATGACTATGCATTTGGGATCTAATTTACCTGTGTTTCCCCATCGTTTCTTAGGGGCCAGAAATTGTATTTTTTTTTTTTGTATCATCAGAAAGGAAATAAATTGCTAGAACGATGTGGGGGCACCACAGGAACACAAAAGAGAAGCATTATATTTAAAATTTCCCCGATGAGAAAAAGAAGGTTTCTCATTTAAGAAAATCTTGACAACGCAGCATAGAATAGACCAGAACAAAAAAGAGCTGGAACGTTCTCTTCTGCCCCACAAATCACACGCCCCATGGGATGTGCTTCCTTCCAGTTTTCTTGGCATGCGTGTTATTTTTCAAATGGTTGTGATTAGCATCCTTAGAAAAATTTTGGGCTCTTCTTTCAATGTAATATTATAAAATGATTGTGTTACATTAAAACATTTCATGAGGGCATAATAGCTCATCTTATAGATGTCGCCTAATTATGTAATCATTCCAATGTGGTTGGATGTTGTGTTCTTTCTTTCTATTTCTTTGTTATAACAAAGAAAGCTGTGATTAAGAGAGAAAGAAAATAAAATTCTGGAAAATTCAGGCTTAAGCTGTGCCTGACACATTGCAACCTCAGAGGTGGCCAGTGGGTGACCTCAGCAGGAGGCCATGCTAGTGTGGACAATGAGGCTGCAAAGACCAAAGCACTAGCATAGGCCCCCACACCAGGCCTGGACTCTGAGGGGCTGATGAAAAAGAATTCTCAGCCAGGTTATCCAGGAGATAAGGCTAGAACCACTGAACCCTGCCCTCACTCACCGGTCGTGCCCACGGTGGACACGGGGCCCACTCGCTGGCCCCCGTGCAGGCCATACAGGTGCACCTTGTACTTGCGCCCCGGCTCCAGGCCCCGCACCGTGACCTCTCTCTCCTCGCCGCCGACATGCGCCACCTGCGGCCCGTCCCCGCCCTTGTACTGGACGCTGAAGGAGTCAAAGTGGCCCTCGGGGACGGTCCAGGAGAGGCTCAGCGAATCTGGGGTGGCGCCTGTCACGGTCAGCTCCCCCAGCACGGGCTCCTCTGAGATGGCTTCTGTGGGTTCGATTCTATCTGGCGCTGAGGAGAGACACAGAGGCTGAG